TTCTTGTTCTTCATACTCTAGTACAGTTTCAGAAGAAGTATTATTCTGAATATTTTCTATTTGGATTACTGTAGTCTCCTTTAAAATTTTATTACGTTCTTCTATTTGTATTTTATTTTTTGCAAATATAACATCTTTATTGATGACTACCTTGTGGGCAGTGGGATCCCACAAGTGATACCCCTTTACTCCATCAGCATATCCTAAAAATACATATTTTTTGAATTTTAAATCTAGCTTGTTGACTTCTTGAGTATTGTACATCACATACACAGGACTTTCAAATATATACAGAATAATCAACTGGCTTTCTAGTCCACATCTCCATCAGTGTCTTCAGCTCAATTGCAGTTGATAGAGATCGATTTATCATATAATAGCCGATATTGACTGCTTCTACCTAGAATGGCTTTCCTAGATCTGTATCCTTCAGCATTGCTCTTGTTCTTTCCAATAGAGTTCTGTTCATCCACTCTACCACTCCATTTTGTTGTGGAGTGTATGCCGTTGTGAACTGTCTTTTGATACCTTCATATTGACAGAAGTTATCAAATTCATCACTGGTATATTATCCTTTATTATTAGTTCTCAAACACTTTATCTTCTTTTCAGATTCAAGTTCTACCCGTGCTTTGAAAGTTTTAAAGACTGTGAGCACATCTACCTTCTTTCTAATTGGATACACCTAACATCTCTTGAAGAAGTCATCTATAAATTATACAAAGTATCTTGCTCCTCCCAAGGATGTAACCGGTGCTTGCTAAACATCAGTGTAAATCAGATATAAGATATATTTGCTCTTAGTTGTTGATATGCCAAACTTTAACCCGTGTCATTTACTTGTAACCTAATGCTCACAAAAGGGTAAAGTAAGCTTTGTAATTCTAAGGAGTAACTTCTGATTAGCGAGAATTTTCAAACCTTTCTTTGATATGTGACATAGTTTTTTATGCCACATCATTGTCTTCTCTTCTGCAGGATTGGGTGATGCAATTGACGCATTTACGGTATGATGAGTTTCTGCTATTAACACAAATAAGTTTGCAACTATCTTTCTTACCTTTAAAACCACCAGCGCTTCTTTGATAATTTTTATGATTTCATTATCTGTTCGAATCTTACAACCAAGACTATTAAATTGTCCCACAGACAAAAGATTCTTCTTTAAGCCTTTCACATGTCGCACTCCTAAAATAATATGAATTAAGCCATCATACATCTTCAATTTGATTGTGCAAATGCCGATAATCTTTAAAGCATAATCATTACAGATAAACATTGATCCTTCAGAGATGGGTTCATATGTATAAAACTAGTCTCGATTAGGACTCATATGCCATATTGCTCATGAATCCATTAACCAAACCTTAGTGAGATATTTTCTATGTGTAGAGGCTATCGCTACTTCACTATATAAAACATCTTCATCTTCTATGGTACTTGCAACACATCTTTAAGGTTTTGATGACTTTGCAGTGCTCTCTATACCCTTTTAAAACCAACAATCCTTTTTAAAGTGCCTTTTTTTGCCATAGTATAGCATTTCATAATTTTCTTACTTCTTGATTTGGGCCTCCCCTGCCTTTGACTCCCGATAAAGCCACTCTGTATTAATCTTCCTCTTGACACCAACAATATCTTTACTTGATTTGAACTATTTCTGTCTCCTTTATTTTTACACCTATTTTTTTCTTTCAAGATAGCGGTCACAACATCATCAAAGACTAAATAGTCTGAGAGGATATTATTGGTCAAGTTGATAATAACCTAATCAGAAAGACTTTGAAATATAAGCTTTGTACGTTTATTTTTTTTTATTTGTTGACCTAACGTAGTGACTTGTGAAAATAGAGTTCTTATTATGTTGATATGGTTAGTCATCGTTATGGTTTCTTCTATTTAAAGGGTAAAAGTCTTCGCTTTAAGAAAATCTTATTGTGCAAAGACTTGGATTCGTATAGTTTTGCCAGATTATCTCATATCTCCTTAGCTGTTTTCTTCTCTACTGCACTTGATAATACTTCATCAGCTAATGCTAAATATATGTTAGCAATAGCATTGTCATCCACCTTATTCCATTTTGCATTATCAGTGATCTCTATGGGCCGATCTCCGGGGGTTGATCTCCAATTACTGCCAAGTAATTGTCTTTCCTTAAGATTACCTTTATTCTCATTGTTCATAGTGAGATATTGCTCCCCTTGAACCTCTTAATCTCGTACTTCGCTGCCATTTTATTTACTGTGATCTATTCAGCTATCACCGTTTCACTTATATGAAACGTATACAGAAATAGTATCGTGTGAATAATACTTTACTAAGTAAGTTCCCAAGAAAGATTAGAGGAGTCACAAATGGTCCCGTTTAAAACTCAATCTCCTTAGACAGAACTTCCTAGACTATATTTAATCACCGCACTGACTTTATGGATGAATAGTGTTGTATAGGTAAAATAGTATCATAGCCATGAATAGTAACTGTATACACGAATAACTTTTGTATGGTAACAACACCAACTAGAAGGCTTTGATACCACTGTTAGGATACTGGCATGCAAACCTGACAAGACAAAAAAAAGGAATAGGATACAATAAGAAATAAGACATATAAGAATTTACGTAGTATATCTAATTTAGTTACGTCCACAGACAAGTATAGAATGATTTTACTAAATAATATTGGAATTACAACCTCTCTCTACTAATAGGAGAATAACTAAAATCTCTTTATTACTATGAGAAAACACCTCACTCACTCTCTCACAAATACCTCATAATTTTGTGGGATTACTTTCCCTATCTTACTCTCTTCTTCTTCTCTTTTATGGTGTGCAAAATAAATTTGAATACATTGTCTATTTATAGGCAAGCATCTATGTAAAAGACAAGGGATACTAATTGGTGCTGCAAGTGGTATCGAATTGATGCCTAACATTGTTAATTTTGGCAACACCAATTATTGCTTGGCTGTCATCACAAACCAGAAACCCAACCAGTTACCAATAGAATTCCAATCGGTCGACCGATAACAACAAAGTTCTCATGAGTAGTAGCAACATATCGCCAACAACAAAGATGTAAAAATCTCAACAATACTTTGGCAAGTTAGTTCCAACACCAGATCGATGCCATCAACTCTAGCAACTCAAGGCCAGGTAAGGTTTCTCTCCTACTTCCTCAAGTTATATGCTATTTTTGGATTAGTTTTAGGTGGATTGATTTGAAAATAAAGCTTGTAACTAAAAAGGCATGCTGTGTATGTAGTTTTTAGGTGAAGCAATATGAATTATGAGTAAAAGTTATATGTCTCACTTAAATCCAACAAGAGAGAAGCCTGACATTTTGTTGTTGTTTTTTTATTAAAACCACTTTTATTTTCCTAATTTCTTTACAGGCCATGCTCATTAGTTTGGCATATTTGCTCTTTGAGTTGCTTTGGGTTGATTCCTAGGTTAAGTATATTTTTGCCTAATAAAATTTATGGGTATTTAATTTGGGTTTCAGTTTTTGTTTTGAGCTCATACATGTTTTATAAGTTTTTTAGTTTTGAGTTTGGCTAATATGGTTGGGCTAAGCCTTTAAGTATTTAAGAAAAAATAATGCAATTTTTAGGTCATTAAGATTTGTTTGGTAAACATGTTCCAAGAAAAATTCTAAGCCTTATATTTCTTTTTTTGTAGTGTTTTTGCTAAATATGATCTTAGCTAATTTCTAATTAAATTTAAGGATGCACTATGCAATTAATTTTCAGTTCCGCATATTTTTTACCTTTTTATATTTAAAATTTAAAATTATAATAGACACACAAGGTGCTTTTAGTTATTAAATGAATTATTTTCCCTCCACGAAACAACAAAAATTTTCTTCCAAAAATAATACATCTAAATATTTTTATTTCATATAACTAAGTCTCTCAAAAATAAATTATATTTTTCATAATTTAGCATACTAAAATATCACAAAAAGATAGGTTTTTTTTATTTTATTTTGTATGCATATTGGATTTGATATATAATCATATTATTAAAGTCATGAAAACTTAGCCTACATTTTAAAAACATCAAAAAATTATTTTGTTTCTTTAAATATCCAGAATAATGAACTTATATATAAGATATATTTCAAATATTAAAATAAACTTTTTTTTTGTTACTATATAATGACTAAGTTTGACCCATGAAGTCAAAGTCCACTCTACTAGGGTAGGTCAACTTTAACTAGCAGACAAACCAATGATTAAAAGCACACAATAATACCTAAGAAAAAAATAAATAAACAATATAGATTACCTAAAGTAAAGTATATTAGCAGTGATATATTTTCTCTACACACAATCAATTTTTTAATTCAAACTGAGACTAGCTAGAGTTTTTAATGATTAAAATATTATATAGTGACTTTAAATCTATTTATTAATAAAAAAATAATAATTTTTTTTTGTTCTTTTCACTATCACCAAAAATCCTGATTAATGAGAGTGATTATCATAATATCATAACATTCATAAAGTACTTATAAATTAGCACGAGCCAGTAAACTAATAAATACTATTAGTATATGCATGCCTTAAATCTTTAAATTGAATGTTATATATATATACCAAAAATTTTAAATGGTATCTAACACTATCAAAAAGTTTGAATTTATATATTTTAATTAGAGTCATGATATATTAATATATTTATATAAAAAAAAAACAAATAAACCAAAATCAATAAAGGGGAAGTTTTTGGTAACCTGTTTTGACCATTTTCCGCTATATTTTTAAAAAAATTAAAATTAAAGAGTAAAGTAATGGTAAAGGAAAAGAGTGACCCGAATAAATATAAAACTTTGATTCCTTCTCAATAAAAGTGGAACAAAAAAGACAGGAGATTAGTGATTTTGTGTAATCAACTCATTGGCTAAATAACATGATCACTAATAGATGTTTCTATGAATAATGACACTTTTCAAAAACAATTATTTTAAACATTCAAAGCAAAGTTATACATTGGGAATTCTGAATCTTAGAGGACCACATGATCTAAAACCAAAGAATGACAACGAAATATAACAAATTAACTTCCAAAATCACACGAACCAATTGAATTTGTATCACAACTCATGGAACAATATCTAGATAATGAGGAACTTGAAAATAAGAGGCATTTCTGCAGGTAATGTTTGACATCTGATTTTCCACTAGAAAATTGCAAACTGGCTAATCCACGCTGCTAAACAATCTTTCATGCCCTTTAAGAGTTGCTGGTTTCCTGAAAAGTGGTCATTATCGAAATTAGGAACGTAGTTTTTATGATTGTTTGCCTTCCATTTGAGTAGCACTTAAAAAGTTGTTTGCTGGGAGTACGTGAGGAGTGGCTGCAACAGTGAAGTGGGTGCATCTGATGTCTCAACGAAGGGAGAGAGCTGGGAGGATCCAGATTCTAGATCAGACGGCAACAAAAGTTCCGAGCTAAATAGCTCCTGGAATTGGCACATTAATGAAGGAGTCATCAGTTATACTATAGGAGAAGCTTTTAAATAACAAGATTCAAAATTCAATGGCTTTTAAATAGCATGGTAGATAAATATTTACCTGCCATGCTTGTGTCTCCATATTGTGGCTCACTTTAAAGTCATTAATGACGATTTCATTAACCAAAACAAGTTCTGCTTCAAGTGACTGAACAGTAAGAGAGTTAATGAGATAGGTAAACGGGGATGGTTAGATTTGAATGAAGAGGCCATTTTAAGCAGCGTCTTCGTTAATTCTTACCCCGACTCGATCCTTTAGAGACTGGACATATCTGATTATCTCATCCAGTATGAGAGCCTTGCCGGTTATCTGTTAGTTATATGACAACCCATTAACATGTATAACTGAATAATCTCAATCAACGAATAAAATTTTCGTCGGACTCAGTATTAGCAGATGACAAGAAGGTGTATATTTACCTGGTCGCATCCAGGAACCAGAGATTGCAAAAGCTTCATCTTCGCACTGATTCTCTCTCTTCTCACCTACAAAACCATGTTTCCCAAAAACAAGAAATAAAACAATTTGGCCGCTAATTCATGAAAAGCTGGCAGGTTCCATCAATCAGTGCTTTAATTAATTACCCTCTCAGCAAGGCTGTGACTGTCTGTTGCTTCACCCCTTCTTGCCCTGACGTGAACATAGCCGGTCGGATGCTCGAGAGGAGGAACTTTCTTCTGTCTTTTTGTGGGCCTTTCTCTCTCTAGATTTGTCGAGAAGGAACTTTTTGGGTTTCGTTTCTCATGTTTGCTTTCTTTTTTTACCTGATCGCATTCAGTACAATGAAATCCAATGTTAGTGTATCAATATCAATCATGTACTGTTCATGCAAACAACTAGTCATGTGTTGATTAGCAAGTAAAAATTGAGACTAATACCTTAATTCACTACTTAAAATTGAGTTAACAATATTTGGTATGTAATTCTTACATCTCAGTAATGTATATAATATATATGCCGTGCATAATTAGCATATTCCCTAAACCGCCATACGTGTATTATATTCACCATTGAAGTGCAATATTCCAGCTGTAGCATTTCTCATAAAATTCTGTTCAAATTTTTCTGCCAACATGGTTTTAGTTAGGAAGCTTGGTATTGGGGATCATACGTACCTTTTTGGTTGGCAATGATTGCTTTCTCATTTGCCCCATTGTCGGGGTCATCACCTGAGTAACTTGATCCTCTTCACTGAAGTCAAGACCAACCACCATGGATGGTGAACTTGAATTATGATTTACAATCGCAGGAGAGTAGTTTATAGTACTAGTGAAATGGACTTTCTCACTGAAGTTCTCATCATCATGGATAGTTTCAAGGATTCTTTCAGCATGTAAAGTGCTCTCCTGGAGATATTCATGTGTCAGATTTGGAGAAAAAATTGCTCCGCTTGCAATGGTTGCTTGCTCTAGCAGGAAACTAGACACGTCGTTTTCGGTGTTGGGATTGGGCTGAAACTCGTCAACAAGAAAAGCGAGATGCTGATGCTGGTAAGGAAAGGCTGCCATTTTGGAGTCTTCAGACTGAGCTAGATTGGGCAGTAATCAGATGGCTAGTGGCAGGGAGGGGGGATGGACTGGGAGGCTTCGAACAATTTAGAACCTAGCTATAAATAAATGCGAGGGGCTCAAAGACGGATCCGGTGGCTCAAAGACGGATGCGGTGAAAGTGGAAATCTCTCTCTCTCTCTCTCTCTCTCTCTCTCTCTCTCTCTCTCTCTCTCTCTCTCTCTCTCTCTCTCTCTCTCTCTCTCTCTCTCTCTCTCTCTCTCTCTCTCTCTCTCTCTCTCTCTCTCTCTCTCTCTCTCTCTCCTCTCTCTCTCTCTCTCTCGTGTGTGTGTGCACGTGTATTATTTTTTAACATTAATTAACCATATAGGTGTAATTAATGAAATATTATTAGTTATTTCATAGATATTATAAAAGATTTTTATAAAATAATAAATTTTATTAAATATAAGTCAAAAAAGAATTAAAATCTTTTTAATTATAATGTTAAGTAGTTATCTATTATGATTTAGAATATAAGTCAAAAAAGAATTAAATCTCTTTAATTATAATGTTAAGGAGTTATCTATTTGGTTTTTTATTTTAGTTTTTGGATTCAAATACTAATATAACGGTAATTAAAAAAATTTAAAATTTATTAAATTTCTCTAAATATACCATATTGATGCAAGGAGTACCTCTTTAAAATCTTAATTGTTTGCACTAAGGGATTCATGATGTATTTCATTAGTAAAACATAGGTTGTAACAACATGGTTATAATACTCATGTATTGCATTGGATATTAGTAAACATATAATTTATGGTGATTGTTATTATTAGGAGTCTTTGCTTCTTTTTAGGTTGATCTTGATTGTGTATCAAATAAGTAATTATCCATATTTTTTTGTTAGCTATAATTTTGAGTTATAATATATATTATAATTCAATTCTAGGTTACTCCTTAAAATTCACTTTATTTTTTAATAAAATTAAAAAATAAAATAAAATAAAATAAAGACTGGTAATATGGAGAAAATAAGTCTAGGAATACAACTGCAATTTTGAAGAAAGTTCAAGACCAGATTGTACCCCAGTATTCTAAAAAAAAAAATTAAATTCAAGGTCAAATTAAATAATTATTGGATGAATTTGTATAAAAATTAAGTCCAATGACATAATTAAATTTTTAATAGGCTAATTTGTTCTAATTATGGGCCAAATTGAATTTTTATTATGTTTAAGAATTAATTTGGATCCAATTGAAGGATTTAATTAAGTGTAAAGACTTAATTATACTTTAAATGGGTCAAATTAATTTTATTTTGGGCTTAATTGGTGAAAATTTAAGTTTAGGAACCTAATTTGAGCTTAATTGAGAAAATTAAAATTTTAAAAGAATAAATTTAATTTTTACAAAGTTAACTGTTTGAAATTAGAGGCCAAATTGCAAGAAAATTAAAGTTTTTGGGTCAAGTAGGAGTTACATTGATAAAATTCGTAGCCACTTTTGCAAAAGGCGCCAAACAATAGGGGCTTAGTATCAATTTGCAAAAGGCGCCAAACAATAGGGGCTTAATTGACAAAAATCATGGGTGAAATTGAAGAAACTAAAAGTTTAATGGTCAATTAGGGGTTAAATTGATAAAATCCGAGACTAGAAACCATATTACAAAAGATGTATAAATATGAGACTAAAGTTGAAGCTCAACAGGGGTGTAATTTCATTAAATCGAAAGTTTATGGTCAATTAGGGGGTTCAAATGAAAGCAAATAAAAGCTGGAGGACTAAAGTGAAATTCATTTTAAATCCCTAATTCAAACCCAAAACGGCGTTATTTTGAGTAAAAAAAAAAGGACCAGATGACGTGTTGTTTGGTCACTATTCATTGTCCTTTTCTGTTACTCGGTAAGAGCTGGTTCGTCTAATGCATTTAACGTTTATCAAATTTGACAAATCTTGCACTCAAATAATCCCCTACATTTCCTTTACAGCTCCAGGTGAACATTTTAGTCTGAGTGGCAGCGGGATGGTGCCGGCCTAAACATATCAACTCAAGCAGCCTTTTCTGTAGATTTGACAATGCATCATGCCTACTTTGAGCTAACGGTCGGGATCTTTTCCAATAAAATCAAGGGTTGAAGTTTTTTCTTAATGTAAACAAGATTGCCCTCTTCCACTGTCTATAAACAGAGGTGGATTTTATGGCCTGAAGGAGAAGAAAATCGAGTCCAAGGTATGTTAAAAAAACCATGTTTTTTCTAGTTTCTACACATTTCTTCTCTCTTTCTCTCTCCATCGCTTCTTCAGCTGTTGAAGACCCCACAAAAACCTTTCTCCCCACCAACAAACAACTTCTCAGCCTCCCATAAACCCAAATCCTACGAGGTCTTCCCTCTCTCCTCCGTGGATATTCTTTTTCTACTTCTTCTTCTTTCTTCCCCTGCCACAAGCAGCTAACACCACCACCATTTCTTCCACCAGCACCTCCACCAACTTCACATCAGGCCAGCAATAGCATCTCCTTCTCCTCCACAAGGTTGCCTCTCACTTCACTCCACTCGTCTGCAGTTTCTGCAACTGTTTGGTTACATGCAAAATGAGAATAGTAACTGTTCATGTTTCTGCAAATAATTAACATTAGATTTAGGCCGATAAGTTTGATTTCATAGCCTCTCTAACCTAAGCAATTAAGTATAAAGGGGTGTTTTAACACCTAATACCCTAAAATCAACTAGCATGAGAGCTATTGGTCCAATGCTTGTTACATAGATTGAGGAAAAAAGCTTAAGAGAATCAAATATGGCACTATCTACGTATCACCATCTACAACCCGAGTTACTAAGGTTGTAAGGGTGCCTCAACACCTAATGCCCTAAGACGAACTAGTCTGGGAGTCATTAGCTGAAAGCTCGTTATATGAATTAAAAATGCATTGTGTTTTTAAGTTATACATATATTAATAAAAAAAGGAAAAAATGAAGAAAAGATAATAATCTTAATCCAAGAAAGTTAATCTTAAACATTAGAACAAAAATTTTGTTTTCTAGCCCTATAACTATGTGTTGATATATTGAGCACAAAAGAAAAGTTTATTAATATCTTGTTTAAGAGGTATTGAGTAGATATATAAATTTAAAGAGAGCTTGTTTATTTGTATAGATTAATGAAACTTGAATGATGAAAGCCTTACTTTGTGGAATTTACAAAATATTTTTCTAATACTTTGATTACTAGAAACTAGTAATAAGATGGTTTAGAGGGTGTGATTAGTATTTAAAAGTGCATTTTTATTAATGTTTCATATCATCATTTTGCATTTGAAGTATCAATAACTCCTTAACTAAAGCATGTTTTATAATAACAAGTCCTATAATATAAGATGCCTTTAATTTATAATAAATATTCATCTTAAATGCAGGCCTATCATATAAATGAAAGGATTAATTGATGAGTTTAAGTACTAAAATTGAAAGGATAAATAGAGGGTCAAACTTAGAAAATATATGCTGGTGCAATCCAAACTGGCACACTATTTGCTAATTGGGTCATATCTGAAGCTGTAGAACTTTGATTTAGGTCTGTGTTTATATGGATGGAAAGCTAAGACATAGGTCTAAAGGAAGGCAAGACTCAATTCTACTATTTGGAAGTCCAAATCTTAGTAATGACATAGAAGTCTAAATTTGTCCTGCAGCTCAGACATTGTTTAGTTTTTAGCTCATATCTCAAGTTCTAGAAGTTCAAATGATCTCAATTTTCTTTTTTAAGAAAGTTGAGATAATTTTCTAGAACTTTCATGGGAAGGTTGGTTCAGATTCTGATGTTATAAATGATTTTTTTGGTAGATAAGAAGATAAGGATTGTCATTAAGTCAATAATTAGTCACTCATTCATTAACTAGTCATCAAATCAATAGTTCTCAATTTTAGCCTATAAAAAGAGGCGTTTTCCATATCTTGATTTTCATATTAAGATCATGCTCTTAGGTTGGTTCAGATTCTGATGTTATAAATGATTTTTTTGGTAGATAAGAAGATAAGGATTGTCATTAAGTCAATAATTAGTCACTCATTCATTAACTAGTCATCAAATCAATAGTTCTCAATTTTAGCCTATAAAAAGAGGCGTTTTCCATATCTTGATTTTCATATTAAGATCATGCTCTTCCTTTCTCTCTTTGTATTTTTATAATGCTTAAGTTTTGCTTTTATTTATATTTTTTTATACCTTTCATTTTCTTTTCTTTACTTGGCTTACTTTTATCTTATTTATGGTCTTAACTTGTTTATTTATGTTTTTCTCTTTCATTAGGTTTAGCTAAGTTTATTATGTCAAGGTGAAAAGGTTACACTAATGGTGTAAGAATAAGTATAATGTAAACTTAATATGGACTTTAATGTTTGATACTAACATGTTTTGTATTTGTTATCTTGTTCACTCTTTAATACTTTGCTTGTTAAATGATTAATCTTGATTTATGTTGTATAACATTTGGTACAACAAATGCTTGGCACTTTCATATCCCATAATGTATGGTATAACCGACACCTGAGCTATGAGAGGAACTTGATTTGTTGTTAACATAAGTTATAATTATAAATGCTTAACAACATTTACAAGTCTTAATATTATTCGAATAAGATAATCATGTTAACAATTTATAATCCGATTGGAACCTCTTTTATGTGTGGTTTCTAGTTGAATAATAAGAGTTTATACTATACTTGTTTGAAATACCATTAGTGAATCCTTTAACCTTGACATTTATTTTTTTATCATTGTTTAATCCTCACATTGATCTTCCATCCTAAAGTTCTTATCAACTTATTATTATTATTATTACTACTACTACTACTACTATTACAATTATTACTATTATTATTGTTGTTATTGTTTGTTATTTATAATTTGTACAATTAACCTCCCTGTGGTTCGACCCCGGTCTTGCCGGGTTATTTATTACTTCGACACTCCTGCACTTGGGAGAAGACATCAATCTTTTAGTCGTGTCAAGTTTT